GTGGGCACTGTAAGACATGGGTGCACCTACATACATGCTGGAAAAACAGTCGTTCACATAAAATTAAAAGTAAAAAGTAAATGTTTATTTTAAGTTAGAGTAATACCATACTATTAAACACACACACATGCAGTTACTGCACCATAAGATGGAAGTTCTCATGTTTATTACAAAATACAAAATAATATTTGTTCCTTGCATGAAGAAAGTCAAATATGGTCATGGTGCACAGGTGGACACATACACATTCATAGACCCATATTCATTGGCAAGGAGTTTATTAGTAAAGGAATTCTAATCCTGTCACTTGATATGGTAATAATAATACCAGCAATGATAATAACAACAGTACTTATCTGTAGTGAATATAATCCATGCAGAATGGCTCATGAAAATTATTTAACAGTCAGGACAAAGGTCTGAGAGCATTTTCATCATTGTACCGGTGAGAAGATGACAGCACTAAACAGCAGAGCTGAAATTCACAGCCATGTCTATTCCTCCTCTGTACACTGACATTGAGTGAAATCATGTTTACTGAGCATTAGAATATTCTTCCTAACCATATAATGAATATTCATTCTTTCATTTCCCAACAAAGTGGATTTGCGGTAGGAGATCCTAGTTTATTTAGATGGTCACATCAAGCAAGTGCTTGACATATTATACATTCTGGTCAATTAAGTATCCAGGAGCTATCTATTATACTCAGTGGAATAAGATTGGAAAAGAGGGCTGAGCAACAGAGCAGGAAAACGGAGCCATGCAGTTCCCTCATGAACCACATTTTCTCAGAGAAAAGTCAATTTTTCAAATGGTTAGTACAAGGCAATGTGCAGAATACATACAGGGGCAAAATACCTGGGCTACACAATTTTCAAAAAGTTAATCATTTATCTGGAGGATACAGATATTTATATAAGTGGTGTCATGAAAGGTAGGACTCTGTAACCATCCTACTGAGCACTAAGAGTTTCCTAGCTACAGTGCTACGTATTCCTGTCTTTCTAAATTCTCATACCCACTTCACTTTAGAGGTATAATAGCGAAGAGTAAGAACCTTCCTCAACATCACAACATTAGCAGCTGGTGAAACCTGATTCTGTTCTGAACAAGCTTCAGAGAGCAGCCCTGACTCGCTTGCTCTAGGAAGAGATTATGACAGGTGCTATTAAAAAAAAAAGACAGAATATGTTATGCCAAGTACATTCAACAAAGCTGGAAAGTAAGAACCACTTCCAACCAAACTAAGTAAGTTTAATTTTCTCCATGAGTCTCCCACACTTTGATGCATTAAAAGTGATTAAAATACAAATTAGACTTTTCTAAAACTGTATGAACAGATTATATAGATTTGATCCCAGTGCAATGTTTTTCTACGTCATTGAGCACCAACTGCATACAGCCTTAGGAGATGCCCTTGGGAGTTCAAATAGTTTTGAGGTAGAAGAGGAAAGCTGTCCACTGTAAGGTACAGAAGCAGAAAAAGGGTGATTAAGAGTGACCCCGGTCTCTCCTAACATCTATGTGCCATTTTCCAAGGGCACTTTGGCTCCTTGGAAACAATTCTTAAGGCTCAAGTTTCCAGAACACCTACCATTTCCTAAATAAGAGACTGCAAAACAGCTGCACCTAGCCCCTAGACATGTTAATACCCTAATAATCACAATTAAAATACACTTGATAGCAACTGAGTGCTTCAATTCTATTGTCTCCCTATTAACTAACACCTAGGTCCACATGTGTTTTCAAGTCTGTTCTATTCAGTTTGTAAACCCTGCTTTACAAAATTCATGTAAAGTATATTTATGAAGAAGCTGATTTTTCCAAACTATAAGTTTAAGGCAGAAGGCAACCTCTATGTCTACGGAGTAAGAATTGAGCATAAGAACTCTGTCAAAAGGCCACCCCTCTAGGGTCACTACATACCTAAACAGTAATCTCAGTTTACCTTTTAAAATTCAGGTCCCAAAGCTGTTTGGTATTGGCTGACCATAGATAGTGCCAGAAGCGAATTGTAAATGGTGCTTGCCCCTCAATGGAACAAAGCAAGAGGTCAGTAGTTAAAAACATGACAATGCTACACCTATCTCTACTTCTTGAAGCTGAATGTAATTGTTGAGATGAGAGAATAATGGATAATGTTACACAGCTGACACCAGACCACAGAGGCTGTCCCATATCTCACTGAACACTGACTAGGTATGAGTGATAAGTCTGTTCCATAACTCCTAACATCTCGCATAAGAGCATTCACGATGCTTCGAGATCGCATTTTTACTGTGAAGTTGTTTTACTTTAATGACATTGTATTAAGAATAAGATGTGCCAGTGGCTGAGGAGACAGTTCAGTGGATAAAATGCTTGCTGTGCAAACATGAGGACCTGAGCTCAGACCTCCAGAAGCCACATAAAAGCCAAGTGTTCTAGTGAGCGCCTGGAACTCCAGTGCTGGGGGCAGAGATCAGCCAGTATAGCCAAAAGAGCAAAATAGTCCAAGAGACTCCCAAAACAACACGGTTACTGCTGGTGCTTTTGGTTACCAACTAGGGCTCTAGGTAAGACTCTGTTGCTGAAGATATCACACACTTTGATCACAGGACATGAAAAGAAGTCAAGCTGGTACTGAACTGGAAACTTCTTCCATGCTTGCTAGGTTTCATAGTGCCAGAAGGTGCTTTGTAGGATGCGGGGGGGATAAATGCCAAAGACAATCTTAACCAGCTGTGAATCCTACAGGCAACAATAATGACTGACTTGACAATATATATCCATTGGTGTAGCAGTGGCATGACTGTTATAAGAGCAATTGACAGCTTTGTGACTGGGCTTAATACCTGCTCCACAGGAGGGAACTCCTGTGTAGTACTGTAAACCTGGGTAAGAACCTATGGCTGGAGGAGTCATGGATTCTGGGCACTCATTACTATTACCTTACTAAAGGGACATGACATCAAACTGCCTTCTAAATACTTACTTGTACCCATAGCCAAGTGCAACTCCCACTCCTCATCAGAGAGATTTCTTTATGCAACAGGACTCACAACTGGTCAAATTCAAAGAAGTGACTCTAAAGTGCTCAGCCTTAACTGGGACATTCATATTACAGCTTGCCCCACTAGGCTTGAGGAACATCACAGAAGAGGGGATGGAAAGATTATGTCAGAAGTCAGGGAAGATTGCCACAGGATAGTATCTTCTGGACATGGCAGGCCACTGCACTCATGAACTCACAGCTGTGGTTGCTGGTATAAGACCTGTACAGAATCAAGCCAGTCAACATTCCAGCTTGGACAGGGAAGGAGCTTGCAAGGTCCCGCCTCTAGCTAAGGAGCTATTGGTAGTTCATGGCGACTGGGAGAAGGAGAATCAGTTTTTGCAGTGGTGTGTCCCAGGGTAGGTTGAACATGCTTTAGTGGATGCTGCCTCACACCAATACATGTACAGGTAGCAATAACTGTACTTGGTTATAAAAAGAGAGACGGATGTGAGCTAGGAAAGGGATGTGAAGGTTTGTCCAGAACAAGTTGGAGTTAGGGAAGCAGGGATGGATATGATCTAAATATACTGTATTTATGTATGAAACTACTAAAGAATAAATAAAAATAAAAATGTAGAGAAACAGCTGAGGTAGACATCCTGATGTCAACTTCTGGTTTCCATACATGCCTATGAGCACCCATACTGACAAGCACGCCCATACCTATGTACACACTCATACCATACACACATAGTCACACAGACACACGCAAACTCACAAACTCACAAAATGAATAAATATATAAATTAGAAATGTTATCTCTAAATTATGGAGTCTTTAACTTAATCGTAACCAAAGCATCACAGAAAACATGCACTGCAGTCAATGTGATAGATATCTTAAGAGGAAAAGGTCTTTCACTAAACTTGTCCCCATCGTCATTCAAACAGGCCAAGTCTACTTACTCCTGAACACCTGAGAACCGATGTATCACTGAGTACATACATGAAAGGGGAAAGAAACATAGAAACTAAATGTTCAATGCTGAGCCAAAGGATATGTTTGCAATAATGTGAACCATGCTGGATGGATTATGTCCAAATTAGAAATGGAACGACTGCCAGCCTAAACCACTGGCATTGGTAATGTTCTAATGCAGAATTGACTTAGTATTTAATAGCTCACCACAGTACATGAAAACATCAGTGGATAGAGCAAGCAAGACTTTTCCTACTTTATATTGAATTCTCAAAGAATAAAAGACAAAAGCCCTCATATTGATACCATATACTGCACTATGTTCTATTTGGCGCCCAAACTTCATGCTAGGCACTGAATGAGGAATGAAGACACATGACTGTGTTACCCAACAGCTACAATGAACTACAGTTTAAATTCTGGCTCACTATGAGGTTGAATATTTCCTGACACAACCATTTAAGGTTGGAAATGGCTGTTAAGAGGCTTAAGCAGAAAGGAGATTTAAAAAAAGCATTGAGTGTAGCGAATGGGATTTGAAATTTGGGTCCAGAATAGGACCTTATGATCTTGAAAAATACTTGTCAACCCTGGGGCTCTGTGATCATGACATGGACCCTTCTCAAATCTGAGTCATTATTTAAACTAAAATAATTAGGGCCTTCATTCTGCAACAAAATTTATGGATATATTTTCAAGTCAAAGGAGGAAATATTATTCATCATACACATACCTCCTAGTGGGCTATATGTTTTTCCTTGCTTCAGCTGAATTGAATATGCTTTGTTATAAACTATTTTCCATTTTCTGTTTACAATGCTCTCTTTCAAACTGCATGGCCCAAAGTTGACTAAATAAATCTAAAGATATTCCTTACAAATAAAGGCTTTAAGAGTTTGTCAATAGGGCAGGAACAAAACATGCCATGAGGGATTAATAAAGTACATTCTCCTCACATCACTATATTTAATCACAGAAAATGATCCTTATGCACAATGAAACCAGTGTCTGCTTTTAATCACATGGTACATTTGCTACTTACCACAAACGAATAATAAATTTTGAATCCAGGTTTTGCCACAAAGTAGTCATCAGACTTGAACGTTATTTTAATTTGGTTTGTTCTTGAGGTTATCCTTGGGGGGACTTCTTTGTGTCCGCACCACCTTCCTCTAATGATGGTACTAGTTTCAGACACATCTTCAACTTCCACAAAATCATACCTAGAATCAATGTGACTTCATTAATGTTGTGATCAAAGTTGATTTCCTTTAACCAACTAAATGAGCTGAAAATTAATCTATAATATGTGAAAAGGATAACTAGATTGGGAGTTGTTTTCCAAACTTAAACTTGAACAATCTATTCCAAGAGAACCATTATATATTCAGTTATGAAAGGCCCAATATCCTAACTTATTTTAAAAGGTTACTTTCAAAGCATGATTCTTAGAATATTTTCAGGAAAGAACAAAGTAACTAATCTATTGACATATTTTAGATGTAGGTTGAGCTATATGCCCAAATATTAACTTCATAATGTTTGCACATAAATTATCATTTTGAACTGATTTGACACTTGAGAAGGACCTGATTGGTATCTTCATAACTCACAGATTCAGTATTCTATGTATAGCTTATGTATAGGATTTGTTTTATTCATTTTTTAAAAATTGTCTTTCAGAAGGACTGCATCATGACATATGGCATTTTTCAGCAAGAAAAGCACATACTATAAGGAGAGATGTATGTTAATCAGTAACTGAGCAGGTTGGGTTGGTTAAAGCAAGGTGTTAATGTGCTCAAGATTAACACAAGATCACTTCTGGCACTGGTGAAAGAAACAGAATCTCAGAATTGATGACAATAGCAAAGGCCTGTTTAGTTACTCTGTCATCTGGTCCCTGTAATTCCTCTGCCCCATTCCAGAGTAAGGCTTCTTCAGTGATAGATATACCATGCCTATGGATCATTTATTCCATCCTGGAACCCCTTAAGGTCTTGGAACATTCTACATAATTCGCTGAACTATCTGCCCTTCAGTTTGGTTGAGACTCACTCCTCATCTTTACCTTTTCCCAAATGACTTCAGGTGTCAAAGTCACAGGAAATGAGGGGCATTTAGGCAAGCAGAGGTAGAAGTCTCAGATCTACCTTATTTTTTTCGGTCAAGATTATCAGAGGAAACAGCATAAGAAGCATCATTTCTAAATGTATAGAAAAACCAACACAGGCTTGCTAGGTTTACCTTGGCACAGCAGAGCTTTTACTGTATTGGAAAGGGTAATGTAAAGAGTAGCTAAAAATAATGATGTTGTTACTAAATTTCCTTGACAGTGATTTATGAAGCCCTTATGTCCTTTGCCTCAGTTTCCTTCTAGGCAAAATAAGGTTTATATAATGTTACCAGCTGGGTATCTCTTGGGTGCTGTGTAAATTAATTACTAAATGTTTATATGGTGCTTGGAAGGTGAAAATCACTAAGAAAGAATCATTATTCAAGCAATAAAATATTACAATGTAAACATCAATCAGGCTTTGGAACAGATGGTAGGAAATCAATTGTATTCCATCTTATGCATAATATGTGTAAATCACATTTACTGTACAAAACATGAATATATTTGAAACTTTGTTAATAACATTTGGTCACTTGATTTTTCAAAGAGTACCAGTATAAATTTTTAACTCTGTGTCCAAAGGGAGCATTATTGTTCCCCTAGGGAGGACTATGAGGCAAGTCTCTTCTACTTCCTTTATCCTCTTATGATTTTACTTCATCCTATAAGTTTTGAGAAGGAGCTAAATTTGATGAAATGTCTAAAAATATATCACCTGATCATGAAAGCCAAAACCCCAGTGATCAAAACCCCTGTTTACCAACCTGAAAGGAGGATAGTAGGGAACAGATGTTACCTGAGGGAGGTAGAAAAAGTGGGAGTAATTGGCAGGGAAGAGAGGAGGGAGGGACATCCAATGGATCATAGTGGGTTAGGAAACCTGGATGGGAAAGTCATGCCCTAGAAACCCTATGAGAAGTGCACAGAGTCTGAACACTAACACATATGTATACCTAGGAGCTGCTTGGCAGGGAAAGCAGTGCCATTGCAGAAAAGGAGGTGGAAAGACTGTAAGATCCAGGGCTGGGTCATGATCATAAGGAGGTGGAGGCTTCCAGGCCACTGGAGGCAAGCTCATGTGAGCCTGTGGCAGCTGTGGCGTTGAGCACGGGACCTATGTCAGCTCAATTAAACAAGAGCCCAAGGGGGGAGGGGATGAGAAATAGGTGGTGAGTCAGCACTAGATTGAGAACTATTTGAAACTGATTGCTGCTGGGTGAAGGAGAGTATGACTTAGATATGACCACTGGATGGGCTGACTAGACTCCAGCGGACTCATTTACACTGAAGGACATTTGGGTACAAACACCTGAATGAAAAGGACTCAGCATGTATGGCAGAGTGCACTGGGTTTGATGGGGGGACAGGGGGATGGGGGGAGGGGGTCTGGATTTGAGTGTATAATATTGTATGAAATTTTAAAAGCTCAATTAAAAAATATTTTAAAAATCCCAGATTACTAGAGGCTTCCCTTGTATGCTATAGCAATAGAGTAAGAAAAATGCACTTGGTTTTTGTGCTTGGCCTTTGAGGTTTCCAAGTGATGGAATGAGAGGAGCAACTTTTGTTCTTCATCACAGTTTATGCTAATGAGGAGACTCCTGGTGGTCCCAGATAACTTCAGGAAGGAGGTATGTGACCAGAAAGACCAAAGTGCGATTAAAGTTTGGAACTTTTGGGCCCACCTCTAGAACTCTAGGGACGAGACACAGCCTGGAGACTGAGTTTAATCACCTATGGTCAATGATTAAATAAATGGTGTCTAGTAGTTACATAATGAACCCTCTATAATCCCCTTAACTCTGGGTTCAGAGAACTGGGCTGGTTAAGACATCTGTTCTTTAAAGGTACTTTTTCCACATAGCTTTATTCATCTCTTTGTTGTGGTAGTTCTTAACCTATATCCACCATATTAAACTGGTAATGGTAAGTAAGGCATATCCTTGAGTTTTGTGACCTGCGATAGCAAATTGGCAAAGCCAAGGAGGCACTGATCTACAGTTGGTGGAACAGAAGTATGGGAGACTTGACATCTGCACATGATATTCAAAACAGGGGAGACTGTGGGATTGAGCTCTTATTTTGTGGGTTTGGATATTAAGCCCAAATCGATTGTGCCAGAGCTGACCTGAATTGTAGGACTCTCAGCAGATATTAGAGAATTGGTTGGTGTGGAAAAAACAACAACAAAAAACCCAACAATATCCTAATTGTCAACATGATGATATCTAGAATCACTAGGGATACAGGCCTCTGGAAATGCCTATGGAGGATTACCTTGATTAGGTTAACCAAAGTAGGAAGACCTGCCGACTGGGGGTGGTGCCATTCCCTAGGCTTAGGTCCTGAATTCCATAATAAGAAAGCTAGCTGAGCACCAGCTTTCATTACTTCCTGTTTCTTAACTGCAGATGCAAAGTGACTAGTCCTTCAAGTTTCAACTTCCCTGCCAAGATGGACTGTACTCTTGGACTGCGAGCTGAAATGAATCCTTCCTACTGTGTGTTGCTGTTGTTAGGGTATTTTATCATAGCAACTGTAGAAGATACTAAGACAGTGTCAGGAATGTCTTGGGTAGAAATAGACCACAGTACTTTCTATATTGTCACCTTTAACAATCATTTTTAATAGTGCTTTATTTTCTTTTCATTTGTCAGCATAAAAAGTTAGTTATCCCTTTCAAGGTTGAAGAGACACAAGATCAGCTTTAGTTTATTCTTTTGGTAAATATTAACTGGCTCTCCATCCATTTTTTTGTCTCTGCTTTCTGGCATACATTACCTTCTGTGGTCCTAGAAAGCAATAGTCTGTGCTACTAGTCTCAGGGAAAAATGGCAGCATAATCAAAGTTGTCAGCATACTGAACATGCAGCAAAGCACAGCCAAATCCAAGGCACCTCTTTTTATTATTCAAAGGGAAATAAACCTGTTAAAAGGATTTAGCAGTTCAGTAGCTCATTGGCAATGCAGAACAAGTTCAGCTAGTAAAGGACAAAAGGGAAAAGTCCTCTCTGAGTCTCACATGTGATAACTGAGTAAGATGCTAGAGCGGACCCGTCAAGGAACAGCAGCCTGGGCTTCCTCTGACAAGTACCCTAGGAAGGGAGGAGAGTATTAGGCACAGAGTTCATCTTTTCCCCCTGACCCAGAAACCACAAGGAACAGGCATCTGAGGAGCACATAGATTCTACAGTTGGCTTTACTTCCTTCTCACACACATCTGAGCCTTAAAACTAAGAATTCAGGGCTGGAGAGATGGCTCAGCAGTTAAGAGTACTAGCTGCTCTTGCAGAGGACCTGGGTTCAATTCCCAGCACCCATATGGCAGCTAACAACTGTCCTAACTCCAGTTCCAGGGGATCTGATACCCTCTTCTGACCTCTGTGGGCATTGCCTGACACAGATATACTTAAACACATGCAATCACTCATAAAATTAAAATAATAAAAAATTTTAAAAACAAAAATCTAATGATTCACAGGAAGCTTCTGACCATGTTCTCCACCACCGTGTCTTGCTATCCTTACAATGGCCTCAGTCCCTGGAGTAAGCAGAGGTTTTCACTCTGTATGCCTTTGACAGACTTTGACCAGAGTTACAGGATGCAGCTCCAGGCGACCTGGATTGGATGCATTTCCTGCTCACAAAGGTCTTTCAGGAACTGGGAACATCACAGATCCCCAAGGTTTTCCCTTTTACAGGAGGCTTGCTGTCATGACAGATGGCAGTATAATGTTTTGTGACCATTCTTTAGGGCTCACATAAGACTTTTTGAAAAAAAGGGTTACTATACTGGTTAATGCTGATTATCAACATGACAGAATCTAGATTCACCCAAGAGAAAAGCCTCTAGCGATGACTGTGGTTGGTTATCTTAAGTTAATTTAATGGGAGGACCCACTCTAAAATCTGTTGGCACAGAAATGTCTTGGGTATTTCCAAAGAATTAAGAAAAGAATGTTTGATGTGGTATTTTTAACTCACTTTGTCCCCACTTTGGACTTGTACAGTGAGAACTTTTTCTCTCTTACCTACAAATATCATTTTCTGCTTCCTCTAGTCCAAACTGATGATCAAAGGCCAGTTGTATCCGTGTTTTCTCCTTGGAGCGGAGCCGCCATGTCAGAAGCAGGTTCCGGGGATAGCTATTGGGGAAGCGAGGACTCTGCACGTGACCGCTGCCTGTCACCTGGATGGTTTCATCTCTTCGGTACAAGTCTGTGAGGTGATTGCTCTCTGTTAGTAGTCACAACTTGTAGAAATTAGTATGTTGCTCCAATTACAGGAAAGCAAAAAAAAGAACAGTTTATAACACATCACATTTCAAAGCACGTCTTGATTTTGTTCACAAGCATAAGACCAAGTAGTAGCCTTCTGTTCAGCAGGTCATCCATATTTCTACCATACCTACTTTCCCAAACTCAAACTCTTCACAAGTTTAAGTGTCAATGATTTATAACCTGGGGACTTTCCTGGTAATATTAACAGTTATCTTAGACCGCAGGTTCATTTAAATTGGAGTCAAAATCAGAAAATAACTTCAAATACTTCATCTTTCCTCTTTTGTGCATAATAAAGATCTATAAAAAATAAAGATGACCCCAAGATTGTAACAATGCAGTTCTTACAACTAAGCGTGTCTAAATAAACGTCACAGAATGAGTGAATGAGTGAAAAACAAATGAAAACATTCTAAGTTTTAAAGTGAATTTCTCTATCAGAAAAATCTGAAAATTTGGCCATTTTCCTGCTCTGGCGCTAGCCTGGGAGTGTGCTGCTGGGAGCCCGCCACTAGCTTGCCAAGTGTACCTCTCACCACTGATCAAAGAAGCTTGTTTTTGCAACAGAGAAAATTGCTAAGTTGCACAACTGGTCAAATACAGAGAATAAGTGTCTGTGAGGTGCCCAGCCCTAAGTGACACATCTACAATGCAACCTCTACACTTAAGGCTCAGAGAACATCACAGAAGAGGGGGCGGGAAGATTGTAGGAGCCAGAGGGACAAGGCACCTGCTGCTACTAAGGCAGGGAAGCTGCCTCAATAAAATCTCCATAGTACGGTAGTCTAATGGGATCTGCATATCATGGCAAAACCAGTTGCCATACCAAGGTGGATGAGGGAATTCAAAGGAGTCCCTCCTCAACATGAAGATCTACAGGCAATCAGTGAAAGCTGAAGGAGGCAGGAATTAGTTTCTCCAGGGTCTAGCTCCATGAGAGGCTATCTAATTCCAAGTGGGCAGCCCTAAACACAGGTACACAGAAGCACCACTAAACGGGCTCATTGTATCATCCATCTATCATCTATCTATCTATCTATCTATCTATCTATCTATCTATCTATCTATCTATCTATCTATGTATAAGCTGAAGCTCATTTGTGTGTTTATGTAACAATAAAGAAGAGGACAAGAAATTGAGAGGCAGTGGGGGAACAAGGGAGAAGCTGTAGAGGGACTAAAAGGGACAGAAATAATGCAAAGACTATACTCATGTATGAAATTCACAAAAATAAAAGTAGTGGCTGGAGAGATGGCTCAGTAGTTAAGAGCACTGGCTGCTTTTGCAGAGGACCCAGGTTAATTCCCAGCACCCCCGTGGTGGCTAAGAACTGTCCATAACTCCAGTTCTCAGAGAATCTGATGCCCTTCTCTGACCTCCAAGAGCATTGAACAACATGGGTATACTTACATACATGCAGGCAATACATTTGTATAAAATGAAAATAAATAAAATATTACAAAAATAAGAATATAAATTTCAAAAAAAAGTCTACCCCCAAACCTCAGAAATCTCTCCTCCAGGCTTTCTATGACTAGGCTCTAGACCCTTGAATTTTCATGTGTTGGGAATGACTTTGTTTCCATGGTGGGGCTCCAGAACCAGACCTCAGTTTACAATAATGAAGCAATTTAGTGTGAGGTCTTTAGAGAGTTTTAGGATGAGCACTGAGGATATGCCTGAAAGGCCATAGTGTTAAAGAGTTAGGGCTTTCGGCCATGGGAAATCAACATGCGCTAGCCCAGCCTTAAGGTGGCAGGCAGCCAGGTTGGATACTGACTAATCACACAGACACTGCTTCAGTCAGTTATGTCTGCATCAAGACACCACATCCAAACTCTGGACATGCTAGACAAGCTTCCTGATTGTGTTTGTGACAGGCACGCCTCGCCAGGAGGGTGACATAACCTGGGAACACAGAAGCTTCACACATGCAATCTTCCAGACCACACCTTCTGAGTCTCATTATTCCTCCAGTTCTAAGTTTTGTTCTTTAGAATTAAACTTTATGTATAGTGTTTTTCTTGAATTCTGTGAGTTGCTATAGTAAATCAGTCAAACCTGGGGACTGCTAGGTGCAGACTCTTGCATTTGTAGTCATCTGGTTACAAGTGCAGATATCTTGGGGACAGGCCCCTGAAACTTGAAGTTGGTGCCTGTGGGGTCTGTGCACTTAATATGTGAACTGTGACACGACTTGACTAGGAGAGTTCAAGTCAGCATTACATCGTCCATGGTGGATCTCTTAGATTTCTTTGTATTTTGGGGCTTTTGGGGCCCCTACCAAAAACAGACCTCCAACCACAGTCTATTTGCATCCTCCCTCAGAGAATTTACTTTGAAGCCTGTAATTCAGTAAGCCTGGTCAAGGAGATTGCACTTGCTGGTGGAAGGGCCTGGAAAGTGCAGTTGCTGAAGTGGGCATTCAAACTTCCAAAACAGGAGGGGGAGGATGAGCAGGAACTCCCAGGTAAAACATGAAAGGTGGGGCTAGAGAGATGGCTCAGCCATGAAGAATGCTGGTTTTTCTTGGAGAAGACCCGGGTTTGAATCCCAGCACCCACATGGCAGCTAACAACTGTCTATAACTCCAGTTCCAGGGGATCTGACAGCCTCTCTGACCTCTGCGGGCATTGCACAACACATGTGCACTTACCTACATGCAGGCAATAGACACATACACGTAAAATAAAAAATAATAAGCAAAAAATTTTTAAAAAACATGAAAGGCTCATTTCCTTAATTTCATGCATGTGCACATGCAAACTTTGGAACTCATTCACTGGTTAATGTACTGAGGCTCTCTGAGGCAGACTTTGTGTAGGAGAGGGAGTCCAAGGAGGAGTGGGCAGTTGGAGGAGCTGAGGTCCCTTTCCCAGATCTGAATGATAGCACTGGCTCTACAACCAGTCAGCCTCATAGAGGTTGAGAAATACTGCAGCCAGCTGGCATTTTACGCCCTTCCCTTGACCTAATGTTGGAAATCACTTGCTTTCTCATTGTGTCGTAAGGGGCTCCTAGGAAGCCCAGATAAATGCTGTTTTCTAGACTGGCTGATAACACAGTATCAACCAGCCAACAACCATTTATTGAGACTATGTCCTACTGTAGCATCTTCAAGGTGCCTGCTACTTGAGGATAATGTCCACAACTTTGGTTTTATTGGGTTGGCTTCAGTATAATTGATGGCTTAATGTTTCATGCTGTTTACATGCTTAATCAAAAATAAATTTATTCTTAAATAAAAATTTACATCAATAATGTCAAAAGCAACTAGATATAATGGGCCCTGAACAGAAGGCAGGCCTGAATATATATGTTGAATTCTAAAATGCCTGTCTTAGATGTTCAGATTCCTCATTTATGTAATAAGGAGTCTGCAGGAAAGTTTCCCTTTCATCTTTGTAGGGGTAATATTCAGTGGCTTCATGTATGTAGGGTGTGCATATTTCATATTTCAGAAGCTATGCTGAATTTGGATATAATTTGAGGCTATTTGAAGAATGAATCCTACATGTAACATAGAAGATGCATACATTATAAGTACAAACAAAGCCCAAAGGAAGGCTAAGGACCACGGATAAATGCATTGGTTGCAGAGAGGTCAGAAGAACTAGAAGGAAGTGAATACAAGGTAGGTGTGTGTGTGTGTGTGTGTGTGTGTGTGTGTGTCTGTGTGTGTGTGAGAGAGAGAGAGAGGATGAGAGAGAATGAGAAAGAGAAAGAATGAGAGAGATGACAAGCAGAGGCCTGTTTATCACAGAGTCCAACTGGACTCTGGGGCTACAGGTTTTAAAGACAAGTTTTAGAAACACCCAAAAGCCATGCAGAAGTATGTGTCTATAGCAACACCTTGTAATAGATATAATCATTACCATCATTGGACATTTGAAGATTCTGGAGAATAGGGAGACCAAGCACCTTCCTCAAAGTCATGGAGCTAGTCAAGGGTGTCTTGAGAACACAAATTCAGGCAATCTGCTCCCACAGCTAATGTTCTTATTCACTGTGGTATAAAAAGTGTTCTTGAGGCTTGGGGGTTGGCTCAGCGGGGAAAGTCCTTCATGTGTGTGAGAACCTAAGTACAGATCCCAAGAAGCCACCGAAAGCTTGACAGAGCAGCATCTATAATTTTCAAGCTCACATGGCAAGATGGAACCTGGAGCCAGGACAATATCTAAAGATGAATGGATCAGTTAGTCTGGCACACTCAGCAATGAACAAGAGATCGTATCTCAAACTAGGTAGAAGGGGAGGATGGACACTGGAAATTGTACCCCGACCTCTACCATGGCATAGGTGGGGCTCATAACTCCCTGCCACTTCCCCCCAGAAAGACTTTTAAAAAGTTTTCTTCCTTTTAGTCTGAAATTTACTGGAGGCAGTTTTAGATTCTTTCCTTTTCATAATACACTTTAACTTCTGAATCACATTGTTTACATATAATTTATAACTTCATGCCAACTCAAGGTTATTTTTAGCAGAAGAGTTACAATGAATTATAGATACAGAACGCCGCCTATCAGTTCCAACATGAGATAACTACAAAAGTACTATATACAAAGGCACATTCCTTAACACAGGTATTTACTTTGGTAACATTTATGGAGCAATTCTTATGTGCCTGCACTATGATAAATGGTTCAAATCTACGACTACACTTAATCATCACAACAACCCTGTGCAGTTAGCAATACCCACATTTTACAATGGAAATTCTGAGAATTCAAGAAATTTGTGGTCTCAAGCTACGAAGCCACTTTGGAAGCAAGATCTGGCTCTGGCAGCTGACTTTCAGAGAAAGTGACCAGGGCAAGGTATTATCTGTTAAACTACAGAGCAGAAAGCAAATCAGTAATTTCTATGTATGTTTATATACTAAGAATATAACTCTTATTTTGTATCTTAATACAGAGGGAGCTTCATAGCCTTATAAACTTTGAACTATGCATTGGACCTAAATAAAGATCCAGTTAAAATAAGGTAAAATGTTATATCTATTCTGTCCCCACACATTAAAAAATATCCTGAATTCACTTCATCAAATCTCCTAGAAGCTAATGAGAAGTCACAAGGACTACCACTTATGTCTGGATTCATGTAAGAGGGATATGCACTGGTGCCATAATGTGAGTGGAGGTCACAGGACAATGTTGGGTGTCAGTCCTTTCCTTCTATCTATCTTGAGCAAAGGTCTCCTGCTATATCCAGCAAGCCAGCTGGCCCCTGACTTTCTGGGCTTCTCCCATGTCCACCTCCCATCTCTAGGCAGGAGTGCTGGGATTGCAGATATGTCCTGCAGTTCCCAGCTTGAAATGGGTTCTGGGAATTTGAACTCAAGTCTTCACGCTGGTACAGCAAGCACAAGCACTTAACCACCGAGTCATCTCTTCAGCCCCCTTAAAATTATAATGAATGCTGAATGCTATCAGCTGTAGTAATAGTAGAAATAGATTATTTTAACAAGTTGCTCCAACATATTGCTTAGAAAATATCTTTATTTCTTAACAATTCAGAAAAGTGTCTCTGGCACATCATAATCCATTTCCCACATCAATTTGTGTTGAACATGTGATGGGGGAATTAAAATGCATCTTTGAACTTAAAAACAATGGAGTGTGTCTTTTGCTCAGTTTAAAACTATGTAAAGACTCCCCCAAGCCTGGCTGGGTACCAAAATAAAAACAAAAATACTCAAAGGTACTTTACAATTCCTTTGAAAGTTTAATAAGGTAGTTAAAAATCAAATTATAGAATATAAAATTCCTCAGAGTAAAGCCTGTGTCTTCTTCATCCATATAACCTCTGTGTCTTGCCTGGCAAAGTCTGGGTATATTGAGCCACTCAGAACAAATCAGTTAAATACTATATGGATGGATGGTAACCCTAGATAGTGAGAGACAGATAACAGACAGTAAAATAACAAATAAAAATCAATTTAATAAAAAATAAAGTTGTAAAATGCTCTAAATATGTTTATTTCTAAGAAATTCAATTCTAGTGTAGCTGGGGGTGGGGCTGACATTTGTGGAAACATTTATTATGACTGCTAACAGGTTATTTCTGAGAGAGTTCCATTGAAACTGTTCTGTTTTCTATCTGGCATTTAGATATTAATTCAGCAGTGACTATCTCCTACTGAGGTCCGCTTCCAGCTGCACCAGGGCCAGGTCCCAGCACATTTAAAAGGTCATAGTCTAGAAGGAGAAGGTGAGCAAGGAGATGCCAGAGTGGAAGGGAATGGTGTTATGTTCGAGGACAGTTCTCAGAATCTTGATGATTTGATTCCAATTTTGATTGCTATTATTAAGTGATATGTTAAATAAGACAGTTGACTGCCCAAAGCTTGCCCTTCCTTGTCAACATGTAATTTGGTACAGTAAGCTCAGTGAGGGAAACCCAGTGCTGGGCTTTGTTACTCAATTCCTTCCAATGACTTCTACACTCTTGCTCAACAAACATAGAAAAGCGTTTATGATGAAAAGTGGCACGTGGCAAGACTGGCGGGGAGCACTGTTGTAGACACACACACAAGAAACCAGGAGGATGGGGAAATGCAGCAGAATGGAAGGTGGGAGTTCCTTCATTTCTAAAGGAATGGTTCCATTGTACAGCACAGTCTAAAACATAGGACTGAGGTGAAATCGAGCTGAATGAGATAATTTCCTACCGACTATTTCCTAACTTCAAAGGTACAGGGTTGGAGTCTCAGCATGTGAAATGACAAGCTGAAAATTAAACTTTAACAACATTCGTTAAGAATCAGCATGAAGGCCTCTTCAACACTTCCGTCCCTCACTGTTTGTTTGGGCACAGAAGGTTGCAATCAATGAAATAAATTCTTCTTGCAACTGACTACTAATGGGACAATCTTCATTAAGGAATTTTTCGCTGGCACCTTGCTCATGTTCCCAGTGAGAGTCTGCTTTCCAGTAGCCACATGAGCTTCCTGAAGACAGTGTTTCCTGTGCTCAGTATATGGCCTATTTCTAAAAATGTATTTTTATTGAATTTTTGTGTATTTCATACAATAAATCTAAATAATACTTAGCCCCTCCTTCCCTATCCACCCCCCCCTTAGCCTACCCACAGGACTTCGTGCATTTTGCCTAGTGAGTCTGTCCCCAGATGTTCCTTGGTATGAGTTCAAATGAACTCAAGAGTCAAGCTGATGAAGCACAGCCTTTCTTAGGGTTCTCCATCTGAGGCTTGCCCAGGAATGAAGTAATACTACTAGGCCTTTCTGTTTATGATGATCTGGGAAGGAGTTTGTAGTTTGTCTATTGTACATCTGCATGCACACATATTTGCATATTCACATATGTGTGCATATGTGTACATGCACACACATGCACATACACATATATACTCACACATGTACAGACATGTACATGTGCACAAATATTAGCATATGCACACATATGCACGTATATACACACTTGAACACTTTTTTTCTTTTCTAGTTATGGTTCAGTTTGGCCTGAATTACCATGTTAATGTTTTATAAACAAGCTTGCTCACAGTAGCAAATTGAAGACAATATTTTTGGAGAGTAATCAATCGATTATTCCCTGAGCTCAAAATTCTTCAAGCAGATGAGTCCGCAAAAAAAGGTAAAAATAAAAGTAGCATGAAATCCATTTGAACATTTGCCAGAGCAGTCCCCGGGACTGTCACACTACCTGCAGTGCTGGGCTGGTAATGACTATCCTTCACTTCACTAGGTCTTCTCATATAAAGAAGTTACTTATTTGTTTTGTGTAACAGTAGCAACCATATTATATCACTCAAAATTGCTTGCATTTTGAAGGGGACAACCTATATTCAAGTCACAACACCTACTTTTTGTGAATATGCTAAAGGAAAACTATATATTTCACTTGTGAACTTTAAGTTTTCATCTAGAATGACGATTTTCTGAGATTATTTTACAGGGTAAATTTCAGGAGGAAGTGATCAATTGAACAGAAATTATTCAGCTACTTCTGTCATTGCTATGACCAAAATACCTGAGAGTGCAGGTTAAGGGCAGAAAGAGTCGTTTTGGCTCATGGTTTCAGAGGGTTCAGTCTATGGTTACTTGGCCCTATATGCTTGAGCAGAACTTCATGATGGTGGGAGCCAGTGGTGGAAGACAGATGTTCACTTCAAGCAGAGAGAGAGGGGTATAGGAAGGGGCCAGGGGCAAGACACTCCCCAACGGCTCCAGTCACAGTGATGCCCAACTTCCTGTTTCCAGAGCATTCTAAAGCAATGTCAAAATATGGGGATGAAGCCTTAACATGTGATCCTGTGGAACACATTTCATACTGAACCATAACAAAGGTGATGTGTGATATTCATGGAATTGAACAGTAAAGAAAATAGGATTCTAAATATCGTAGTGATTAAAAAGTTGATCTGCATGGACAAAGAGCAGTTCCTTGGTTATATCTGACTATGGGTCTTACCAATTCCAGGACAAACTTAACTAGATATTAATAAAAAGAAGCATATTGCTCATTTTCTGTGGTGTGCACATATCAGTGTCTGCATTTAATAAACACATATGTATACAATAGCATGTACTTTACACTTAAACACAAACAGTCATGAATGTCTTTAGTACTATTTACAGCCAGTCATTTTTAATACCAAAATTTTCTGAATTCTGAAACAGCATTTTCAAACTTCAATGTGCTTTAGTAGGAAAGAATGATTATTCTTACAGGTAGTTGCCCAGCTGTTAGGAAGAAAATCAAGTTGGGGCATGGTTATAGTAGCTTAGTATATAAATTTAGCCATGCTAAGGAGATGATTGCTCATTTGTTTTTAAGATCAAATATCTTCTTTGATAATGCTAAGTACAGATGTATGCAACATATTTGGATATGTGAATGTCACCTGTAATATCTCTATAAAGACTGCAGTATTGGGGTGGGAGAGATGGCCCAGTG